CCTTTGTTTCTGACCGGTCGAGAGGAAGGTCAGGCTAGCCGTTCTCCTCACCTTTCTTTAATTTCCTGACGCTCCTGGTTTTATCCCACCTGGCTTTTCCACTTAAGGTTTTTCTTCTTCATTAGTTCCCTTCAGGTCCTTTAAAAAACACACCGGCCCTGTTTTATTTAAAAAAAAAAAAATCCCACTCTAGCTAAATCCAGGACTTGAGTGACACGGGGAGAAGCACGCGCAGGTGTCTGGCCAGTTCGGCCTCCTGTGCGCAGCGCGCAGACCCCGGCCCTCGTCGTCTCGCCTCGTCCAGCGGCGATCCAAGTCACCAACTGCCTCTTCCCACGGGGAAATTTCAGTGCGTTATCGGTCGCCCAGGTGCAGCCCTCTCCCCCCAGAGCCTGCGGAGTTTGCTGGGTTCGTGGGGGTCTCCCACCCCTTCTCCCCGGGCTGGAGAGCTGAACTGAGCTGCTGAGCTAGGCTCGAACGCGCAAGCCGGTCCGACGACGGGAGGAGAAGCAGCTCCCCGAAGACAGCGCCGCTTTCCAAGGGCCTAAAGTCCTGTAAAAGCTCGTGCGGTCCGCCCCGGGGTTTAGCTCAGCATGAACGCTCTGTTAGCCGGCCTGAGGGGGGCTGGAATGAGGTTTCCGTCCGGCCTCCTCTGGATGGGCGTGCTGTTGGCACTTGCACCTGCTGCGCCCCTTCTCCGAGAGCAGGGCAGGCCACCCGACGCCAGGTCGGACGACCTGGAGCTGTTCTGCGCTGGAAAACAAGCCCAGGCTGGGAATGGGCGGAAAGCGCTAAGGAGACAGAAAAGGCCGTGGCGCAGAACATCCGCTTGCGGAGCGCGACGGACGCGGATCCTGTCCCGCTCTTGTCCCCTTCCAGGCCGCGCCCTCGCCCCTAGCTGCAGCACGCGAGCTGCGCTCAAAGCCAAGCGGCTGCAAAGGTTGGCCCGGTCGGCATCTGTCTACACCAGCGAGGACACCCGCCCCCTCCCCCCAAAAAAAGGTGTGCGGCGAAGCTTGCAGAAGAATTCATCTTCTGTTCTCTGGCCACCCTGGCCGCAGTGTGGCCGCGGGGCGGCGGAGCCCTGTCCCGGGCGCGGCGGGGTCCTGTAGGTCGCGCTCCCACGTGTGAGGACGCCACTCCCGGCGGCTCCCGGCGGCTCCCGGCGGCTCCCGGCGGCTCCCGGCGGCTCCCGGCGTCCGCGATCCCGAAGAGCCGACAAGCGAGGCATCACACTGGGACCGGATCTCGCGTCCTCTTTATCTCAACTGTCCCGGGACGTTGTGAACCACTCCATGCAGACCTACGCCTCTGCAGCTGCCTGATCCAGGTTAATTCGGCTCCCCGCGCGCACTGGGACCGCGGATTCACCGGCTTCCCTCTGCCACCCAGGCTCCCCAAGGGCGGAGGCGGAGCCCTTTTGCGCCTGGAGAGCCCTGGGTCACCAAGAGTCCCTAGCGAGACGCCGCCGCGGTTGCCCCGGCTTCCCCAAATTCCTTTATGCAATAGTACACAGCCTTGGTCAGGGGGCTGAGGCGGGATCCCAACCCTCGGGGAATCCGAGTCGCCAACCCGCCAGGCGCGAGCAGCCGACGGGAAGAGCCCACCTGACCGTTACTAGCCGACTCTTGCTGGCACACTTTCGTGACGCAGGGACCTAAATGTGCGGTGCCCGGAGGCAGCCGTCGAAATTTCTATATTGGGTTCTGAAAGACTCTCTCTGTCCGAATGCACAGATATGGGCAAGTGCGCGCGCACGCACCTGTGTCAGTACGAAACCAGGCTGGCAGGAATGGGGCGCACAGCTGCGGGAAGGGAGTCCGTGCCGTCCCCTGGGAAAATAGCCTCCGGGGACGATGGCCAAGGGTTTGGGTTCTGGGTGCGCTTGCGCTGGGAGATCTGGAGCCCCAGGAAGAAGAACTAGGAGAAACGGTCATCCCAGGAAGTACTCCGCCCCACACCCCCACCGAATAGAAAATAATACTCCCACCCAGCTTCGCAGCGCTCTGGGACCCACACCAGGTGGGAAACAGACCACGGCTCCGGGCTGTTTCCACATTCCCACCCCAGCCAGCCCTCCAGGGAAGACAACCAAGACTGCGGGTCAGCTGAGAGCAAAGCTCGGTTCAGCATCCCAGCTGTGGGGTCTCCGCAGGTCCCCGAGTCTGCGGGAGCGGCCAAGAAGGGCCGGCAGGTCCCACAGGCGCGCAGGGGACTCCGGAGTCCGGGGACCCGAGTTTCGGAGGCGGCGTGGGAGGCGCTGTCTGGGGTCCGGGGAGCCTCGAGTGAGGTGGCAGGGGCAGCAGGACTGTGACCCAGGTGAGAGGTGGCCGCGCCTCCCTCACATTTTGTGCCAAGCAGTCAAGATCTCAGAGTATTTGGCGAGGTTCCTTTCTGAACCCATCCAATTGAGCTCCCCAAAAAACACCTAACCGTTTCCCAGGTGCCCTAGGGCACACAGGCCGCTCCCGCCGTCCAAAGCAAGCAGCAGGCGTCCTGGACCAGAGCCGAGGGGCCGGTCGAGCTGTAAAACAGGGGGCTCCAGAGATCGCCCCCAGCGCCCTCCAGTCTGCCTGGCTCGACGCCGACATCCCAATAGGACGGCCACGCCGGAGCTTGTGGGAGCCTGGCGCGGGCAGGATGGGGCGTCCGGAGACTTGGCTGCCAGGACCGCACCGGGGCCACCTGACCTCTACGCGGTGTAGCTCGCAGAGGCAACCGCGCAAGCTAGGGGTCGGCCCGGAGCCGGCGGGAGCAGAGTCGGAAGGAAAGGGGCAAAGGCGTGAGTCCAAGGGAGATAAATCACAAGACCTAGCAACATTGTGAAAGGGAACGCTCAGCCTACGCCCGCAGCCAGCAAAAGAATAGCTCCCTGCCGCGCAAACTGGGCAAAAATTTTAAAACGCCCCCGAAGCTGAGAGCGCTAGAGGCTCTGAAGTTAAAACACCCCTCTCCTTTCGCCACCATCCCACCCCCAGCTCCACACCTGGGCTCAGGATGAAGATGCGGCATCCCTCTGCCACAAGCGGTGGATGTCCTTAATTACCCCCAGTTCCTTCCTCTTCCCAGGAGTCCTTAGACCTCTGGGCCCACGTCCCAGGAGGGAGAATGGTTGCGTCTCGGTAGGGAACCGCGCTGCCTGTTCATGCATGCCCTGGTCTGGCACCAGAAGCTAACTGTCAATGAATATGGGTGACCATCACGCATGCATCCCAAAGGGGAAAAATCCGGATCCTAAAATGTCCCTGTAACCGGGACCCTGTGTCTCTGTCCAAAGAACCTGACAAGACAAAAGGCAGGGGATGACATCTTCCTGTTGGGTTCTGCAGCGCCTTGCTAGGCCACCTGGGGGGAGACCTCTTTTTTCTATGTAAGTTTTCCCCAGTTTCAACCAAGACTCAGAGCCCCCCACCACCCGTGACTCCGAAGGCGACTTCTGGGTATTCTAGGGAAGCGGGTTCCTGACTTCCAACAATCAACCCTGCCTAGGCTCCAGAGACTCTGAAGTGAGCCAATCAGCGTGGGGCAAACAAGAAAGCTCCCTAGAGCAAAGCCCAGTGTCCTTCCTTGGGGTCCCGACAGCCGGGCCACCTGTGGGCCCAGCCACCAGAGCACAGACGCGTACAGCACACGACGCCTGAGCCGCGGTCTCCCCAAGCCACAGTACAGTTTGGCGCCTGTTTTCCAGTCGATACAGACAGTCACAGAGAATAAATGCAGGAGCTGGTCAAAAGACATCTGAATAGGACGAGGCTCTCTCCTCTAGTCCCTTCTCCAAAACTTCCCGGGAACGTCCAGGGAGCGCGCTCCCCAGCCTGTCCTTTCAGACAAGGCCAGGACAGGAATTCTGTCATGGAGAGCCGGGGCGCAGGAGGGCGCGCTCGTGCGTCTCAGTTCCTAGGCGGGTGGCCATCCCTACATGAACCGGCTCTTGCTTAAACCCCAAGGGTGTACTGCCCCACCAAAGAAGTTACAGGAAGTACAGACAGACCCTGGGCAAGCGCGGCGAGAGAACCCTTCATTTTTCCGCGGTGCGGGAGAGCGCCGTGCAGAACACGCGAGCCACGCGGCAGGATGCTCACGGCGCGCGTCCGGCGCGCGCGCGCCACACTCTGGGACCTGTACCGGCCCCGGCAGGGATTCTCCCCTCGGCGAGTCTCCATTCAAGAATGAAAGAGGGACAGAGATTCCCACCAGGAAAAATCTCTGCCCGCACAAACCCAGAAATCAGGAGACACGCGAGCCCTGAGCTCCGGGCGTTTGGCGCATCCCGAGCGCCGCACCGGGACGCGGGAGGGCGGGCTGGCGAGGCGCTCACACAATCCCGTCTCTCCCCGCCAAAGGCGAGTCCGGGCGAGCGCCGGTCTTCGCCTGCGCCCAGTCCACAACTTCGGCGCCGCGCTTCTCTGAATTCCAGCTCGCGCCGCTGGAACGTGGCTAGCAGATTCCCGCACACGGAGCAGTTTCCCCGGAGGCCAGCGCCACGGGCAGCAACGGGTGCGCACGCCCGGCGCTCTGGCCCGCGGGGACAGAGTGTTTGTAGACCTGGTTCCCGCGCCGCCCGCCAGACCCGGGGGTGGGGCGGTAGAGGGGGACGCGTAGGACTGGCTATTCAACTTTCCGCCAGCTGGAGTGAAGTTGCACCAGCGGTCCTGTGAGCCCTGACCGTGGCCAGGGGGGAAGACAATCCAGTGAAGACACCCTGCGCCCTGACGCCTGGCCTGCAACTCATCACCTCCTTTAAGTCCCCAAACAGCGCACTCCCCCTGCGTTCCCGAAAAAGCAGGGGCCGGGAGGTGCGGTGCTCCCGACCCTTCGGCCCGCCTCAGCGTGATCCAGGTGGCGTTCGCGTTCGACCCCAGGAGCCAAGGCCCCTGCCCTGTGACCGTCCCCGCGCGCCCCGGGCCGCCCACCCCTCGCGGCGCCTGGCCCTCCCCGCGGAGGGATGCTGTTCGCGGTCTGGTTACCGCGTCCAGCCGGCACGGAAAGGGGTGTCTTACGTTGCATCGGCACACCGAGCATCTCCGGGAGCCCCTTGACGGCCGCCTCGGCGGGGACAGCCGCGCTCTGCATCATCTCGGAGCCAGAGCTAGCCAGGCGCAGTCCACGGAGATCTGACGCTCTCTCTCTCCGGCTGGATTCAGAAATCGGAAAAATAATAAAAAGCCCGAGCAGGCCGCTGAAGTCACGGTGGCAGTCGGGCCCTCGCCGGCCTCTTCCCGGGAGGGCTCCACAGGCTGGCCGGCCCCTCCCCCCGCCCGGGCTCAGTCTGGTTCAAATCCCTTTGATCTCTCTCTCCGGGGCTGGTGCACATCCCGGGTAGAGGAGACGCTGTTGCTGCGGCTCTGGCTTTTCTCCCCTCCTCCTCCTCCTCCTCCTCCCCCGCCCGCACCCCCTCCCCCTCCACCCTTCGCGTGCCGGCCGCCCCGGAGGCCGCGGTCACCCAGGCATTTTGATTCATTCACACTGCAGGAGCGGCCGTGACGTCGCTTTCCGCAGGGAGGCCCGCCCTGCAGCCAATCTCCCCTCCACCCGACTTCCCCGCCCTCCGCAACCCGGGGGACAGGCAGCCGACCCCGGCCGGCCGGAGTGGGGGCCGGGGAGCCCCAAGTGAGCCGGCCGGGTGGGAGGGCGGGGCCCGCGGAGCGAGGCGGAGCGTTGCTGCACCCTCCCACCCCCGGCCCGCCTGCGGGCTCGCGCCCCGGCCATAAATACTGCGGCCCGGGAGGCCGCGGCAGCAGGTGGTCCGGGCAAGGCGAGTGGCGCGCGTTCCCCGGGGGTTCTGGGGCCCGCGTGCCGCGTCCTCCCCGCCCCTCGGCTCGGACCGGAGGGCGACTCAGGGAAGGGAGGACCCTCCCGAGGCCAGAAACGCGTGGCTGTGTCTCCCTCCCGCCCCCCACCCCTGGCGCGCTCTCGCTCCCCGGCTGCTCTCCGCCGGACTGGGCGCGCTCCATCACCGGATGACTCCATCCCTTTCCCTCCTCCTCCTCCTCCACGTCTCCGGCCAACTCCTTTCTCGCCGGCACTTCCCAGTCCCTGCTCGCTCTCCCCCGCGTCTGGCTGAGGCTGGGCCAGGGACAGCCCGTACTCGGCCCAGAACGCGCGAATCACGCAGTCGCCGGCGGCCGGCCGAGCAGAGAAAAGCGGCCGGCCCGGCGCGCGGTGGTGGCGGGGCGCGGCTCCCCTGCGCGCTCCCGCACGCCGCGGGGATTCCGAATTTCACTCCCTTTCTGTCCAGTCCGACCCCCGCGTTCCCCGGCTGTGGGATCTCCCCGGCCACCCGGGAGTGTGTCCGCCCAGCTCTGGCTTCCCTCGCCCCTAGAGACCGCTCTGCCTCGCCGGCTACAGGAGCGGGCGCCTTGGCCAATCCCGGCCCTCGTGTGCGGATAAACGGCAGCGGGCGCGCGGCCACGGGGCTCCCCAGCTAGGACGCTGCGCTGTTGCTGGTGGGCGCATCCACCAGACGCCCACAATTGCGAGGCGTGAATGGAAACGTTTCCCATAAGAGCTGCCCAGTGCGTGTTCTCGGCGGGAGCGCCTCAGAAGGCCCAGGACTGGGGCCAGGGCTCCAAAGGTACTGGAGGTAGTCCATCCGAGATTCCTGGGAAACCCACCCTGCCTGCCTCAGGACCCAGCCCCCTCTGGGTCTCTCTGCGACACCCCCCATCCCGGATTTCGTTCCAGGGATGAAGATGGACTCATTTCCCCCAGCCTAAGGATGCCCAGCTTGAAGCAGAAGAGAAACCGTGACCCCTCCCCAGCCTTCCAGAGAGTCCCCAAGGGGGGAGGGCACCTGTCCACCCTTCAGAGTTGGCGAGGGAAGGGCTTGGGGGTGGGGGAGGGTGGCACCGTCAGTGTGGTCACAATGACTTCCACGCGTACTGAGATGGGCTGGCACCATCTCTACCCGCGTATACCTGTCAGGTGACTCCAGTTCACCAGGTAGACAATATGCTCGGGGGGGAGGGGGGGTGGGAGGGGGGGTGGGGAAGGAACAAAAGCAGAGAACCCAGTGACGTTTTCGGGGTTTGCCAACACGCTCTCTTTCTACAGAAACGTAACTAGTAAACAAACACAAACGGGGAAATGCCAGGCAACGTCCCTCTTTTTGCTTGTGAAACGTCCCACTTAGGAGGGCAGTCACGGCGTTCCGGGCTGGCGCGGGTGCCAGGGAAGCGGTATTCTCGCCAGGGTGACTGCTGTGCTCATCACCACCATATCCGCTTTGGGAAGCAGTTTGACAATTCCCAAACAAATCCATACTTTTTTTTCATGCACTTTAGCTCAAGGACTCCGATTTTGAATAAATCTAGAAATTTTTAAAAGTTTCACGCATGAAAATGCATCCTAGTTGGGGAAAGAGGGGAAAAAAAGCCCTACATTTCAAACAAAAGTGACTTGGTAGAGCCAGATTTACCTGGTAAGTTGGCTTGGTAGGATCGTTGAAACCGTGGCATCTAGCAGCATGAGACTGCTAGGGGGATACTGCAGTTTACAAAGCAACATGCGATAGTGGCCGATGACAGATATGTTAGGTAGAAAGGGGCAGTGATTATTGGTTAGGGTCTGGGGAGGTTAACAATTTCCTAAAGAGTGCACAAAGAGGGAGCATGCTTTCTGGGCAAGTTTTTTGACAATCTGGTTTACTTGCCTAAAAATGTGATGCATCTGACCCAGTGCATGTACACGTTTATCCAAGGAAACAGGCAACACTGCTGACGAAGAGGGAGCAGTCAGGTGTTCAGTACCACTTTGAGAATAACGTAGCTAGCCCTCAATGAGGGGTTATTTAGTAAATCAGGGTAAATTATTAATGAAAGTAGAGTGCGTGGGAATGCTATGAAATCATTTAAATAACGCAAAAGAGGACCTTCAATAATTAAACAAACAAAAAAAGACTCGCAGTTCCAGGACCTAGGAAAGCAACCTGCAGCAGTGGTTTCCGATTTTTCGGGAAATTAGCATGCATATGCAAATAGGCCACACGGTAAAAGCGATCTGCCCATGTTTATTTTGTTCTTTTTGCTGTTTCAGTTTTCTTGATGAGAACATCATTGTACCAAGCAGGAAACTAATAAAAGTGTCTTGTAACACTGGGAAAGAATGGATTGAAATATTATTCGAAAGTAATTAGAAAAAAATTGTGCAATCTTGTTCTTAGTTTCCAGACTTCCTGCAAAGTGTATATATGTTATAGTAATAATGATAAAAGTTAATCTATGCAGGGAAACACAGAGCATATATGGCACAGCTTTTATCATTTAAAATGTGTTTAGAACAATTCCCTGCCACTCTTGCTACCCTGCTATGAACCTACTGGTCCCCTGCCCTCCTCCCAAGGCATGGCACTCAGCTACCACTGGGCGTGAACCAGCAGCAGTGTGGTGGGAGCGCCTGTACCCCCTCTTATACCTTGTCCCTCAGTTGCCAAGCCTGTGAGCAGTGGCTCTCCCTGCGCCCCACACATGTGCACCACACAGTTCAGCCACGGTGTGCCTTCTCTACCTTCTACCAGGAATGGGGGCCATCTGGCCGTGTAAGACCCTGCCAGGGCAACTACAGGTGACACCCAAAATTCAATCAATCTACAGCAAGTTGATGATTTCATATGACCCACCAATGATGTAACTATCCAAACGGCTCTTGGCAGATAAGAAGGTTCCCCAACCCTGTAAGAGGCACTTGTTTGCTCTAGGGTCTGAATCCCACCCCCCCAAGACCCCCCAACAGTGTCTGAACATGCCATTGCCTTTATTTTCCCTCCAGCAGCCTCAGCCTTCCCAACCATGACCAAAGAAAACCCTAGTGAAAATTGAATACATATGATGGTAATTATTACAGCTGGTATTTAGTGGAAGTTTACACCTGTACTCCTGATAATGTAATTCCATCTATTTCTTCCAATGATCTAGCAGGTGGTATTATGATACCTACTTGGTAAATGTAAGAAACCAAGACTCACAATCTCATCCCACAGAGACTGGAAGAATGGCTGAATCCCAGAAGGAACAGAATACCTGGCCTGTGAAACAGCCCAGAAAGCCTCCTTGTGGAGGTAGATTTTTGAACTGACTTAGCAGGTCTTTCCTCCTGAAGGGGAGGCTGACAGGTGGCAGGATGGCAGGCACCTGCTGTGGTGTAACTTCTCCCTGGTCTAAATTCTGCTACAGAAGACAGTGAGAGGCCAGTACAGTGGACCTTTATATATTACAGTTCTGGGAACCAAATCCAATGTGACAGTGACTCTAGAAGGGAAAGAAGCAACCCAGAGCAGGAAAAACAACCATAGCTTGCAGGAGCACAAGGCTTGGCATTGCACGAACCTCCTCCACATACTGTTCCATCTTTGTTCTTGCCAATTCTGCTCTAGTGAGGATTACCAGGAAACAGAGAGGTTTAGCGATCTGCCTAAGGTGACACAGCTACTAAGTTGCAGCCAACTGGAAGTTAAATTCAGCCTTTTGCCTCACAATCTGGTGCCCTTTTCACTCTGCACAACCGACAGAGCATTTTCTGACCCACAGAGTCTGAGAGTTTGGCCGAGTGGGAGCATTCACTCTCAGATGCCAGGAAGCCAGAACTCTACTTTCCCTCTTCAACAGAACAAACCTCACCACCTCCACTCCCTGACATCCCTTCCCTAATCATCCCCTCCCAGCCCGGGTCCTCTCAAACCCTCTTCCATCATTTGCATTTTGAAACTATTCCCTTAATTATTCTCCCGCTGTAGGAAACCTGCTCTCCCCGGCTCCATGGCATCCTTTGATTTATCTCTGTCTGGATAACAGCTCCCCGATTCTCCGTGGGGAATTAAATTTTCATTCATTTTTCGGCTGGCCTAGATTGATATAGACCCCCTGCCCTGGTCCATATTACTCATCCCAGCAGAGAGAACCAGGGAGACCAACCCTCAGCCCAGCCCCTGGGGAGCCACTGTCTTGTTCAGGGAGCCACAAGGAGTTCTCCAATAAAAGGACAGGGGCCTTTGCTCTTCTCCATCTGTCCACCCAGTCCTCCAAGCCATTTGTCACAGGCCCTTTCCGTGGGCTCACCACTTTGTCATTTGTCTCCTTCTCTTCCCAGAACCTGGCCGGGATCTCACCCACTGGGATGCTGCTCAGAAGTTGGTCACTGCTCATCTTAAGCCTGCCCTGTGTCCTTGACACGGCAATCCAAGGAACAGGCACAAGAGCTGGTCTTGTACTTGAGCATCTGACGCTCCAGTTTCCGACTCAGCAAGGGGCTGAGAAACAGATCAACAAAAGGGTGCGGAGAGGTTTGCAGGAAGAAGCACGCAGCAC